TGTGTGTGTGTGTGTGTGTGTGTGTGTGTGTGTAAGTTAATACTATTTATCTGAGCATTCAGTTTTGTAGTTTATTGTGAAATGTAATATGGTTTTATAAGATCACTTTGTTTTGTAAATACATTCTGTTCTTTCTCCTGTTTTTTTAATGCCAGTCAATGACATGGCAATACTTTCCCCCAACAATAAATAATAAAATGTGGTTTGTGTACACTTTCATCCATAAGACGGCCGTTTAAAATTGAAGAGATCATTTAGATAATATAAGATATAAAGAAACATAAGAGGGTAGAAAAAAATACGTTTTAGTAAACATAACAAACAAACTGTTTTTTTATATTTGTCTTTAAGAATTGAAAATTAAGTTCAGTTACCTTCGATTCATCTGGCTCAAATGAAAGAACGGAGTTAAGCGTTGTCACAAAGTAACCAGCAGGTGGCGATGTCGTAAAACAACATGGTTAATCAACCAAAAATTAATACCCGAAGAAGAAGTAAACGGAAGTGCTCAATGTCTGTTTTTTTTTTTTTTTCATAAAGATTGTTGGCTATTTAAATTATTCTCTGCAGTCTTTCTGTTCGGCTAACCTACTGTTTATTTTAGGAAGTTGCAGCGTCTTTAGCTCGTTTACACAAATTTTATCGCGTTATTTTTTTTTCAATGTAACTGCAAACATCAAAGATTCTCCACCGCGTGAGGCGAGTTGAACTTTGACTCACTTGGCAATGCTTCGGGGCTCCTTGAATTAAAGGCAGACTGTTTTTGAGTGGCGCATTAACTGATTTAACGCAATTTAAGTGTAAATAAAATAAAGTCCAACGAAACTCAAGAGATCTCTTCACGATGAGCTCCAAGAAAGTGATCGAGCTGTTCTACGACGTGGTCTCACCGTACTCATGGCTCGGCTTTGAGGTTTGTCTGCTGACAGCTTAAACATATTTATTTTGCACTGTTTCCGGAGGTTTTACACTCAGTTGTGTTTCCAGATCATGTGTCGCTACAGAAATGTGTGGAACATCGACCTGAAGCTGCGTCCTGCGTTTCTGGGCGGCATCATGCAGGGGTCAGGTGAGTCAATGTTTCAGGTGTTTGCAGCTCCACGTTATTGTTCCTGTGGACCTTCTCCGTGGTTTAATGTGTTCATGACAGGCAACAAGCCTCCTGGTCTGGTTCCGAACAAATATCTGTACATGACCAAGGATCTGAGCCGCTTGGCGAAGTACTGTGATGTCCCTCTGCAGCCACCGTCAGATGCGTTTGAGGCCATGTTCCAGAAAGGTACAGCCACAGTAGTCCAAAAATCTTTATTTATTGTTTTAAACCACAGAGTTCAGCAAAGTGCTGTACAAAATCCTAAACTAAAACTAAATCAGTTTAAAAACAATGGATACGGAAAAAATATAAAACAAGTAAGAATAAAAAAGACAAAATGATTTGAGATGCCCAAATCAATGCTTAAGAATGACTGCTGAAATTTACTGAAAATGCAGAAGCTTGTTCAGAACAAAAAGAACACTAGCTAAAAGGTGCAGAACTAGCTAAAAGGAGGAAAACACTAGCTATAAGCTAAAAGTAGCACATCATTAACTAAGAGCTAAAAGTAGCTAAATACTGAATTCATTCAACCTTTATTTAGACAGAATGTTGCAAAAATGCTTACTAAAAGTGTGATCAAGCAAATGGCTAGCTAAAACTTTGTTACATGATAAGACAAAAATAGATCTATGTTTTTAATGGAATTGAAGAGATCTTAATGTGTTTCTGTAATGGAAATATTTGCAAATAAAGCAAAATATAACTTTTTTGCACCCATCTACTCAATAAGCTGAATGTTTGGATGTTTGTGTTCTTTCACTTTCATGTTTATGAGACTAGAAGTTGATAACATTTGTGTCCATAAGTATGAGTAGATAAAACTAAAATAAAACTTTTGTAGCTGTTGAATCGATGATCATTTTGTTTTTTTTTTAAACCAAATACTCCACTTTGCACATACATGAAACTAAAGTTAAAATTTATAAAAACCCAGTTTCCGTATTTCTCTGAAGATTCATCAAGTTTTATGTTGCACTTAATTTGTTCTTTTACTACTAAACACTACATTTCTAACTTTTAATCTGTTTATTACTAGTAAATATAGAAGCATTTTTATTACTTTCGTAGTTAGTCAGTAATCCATTTTTACAGAAGACAGCAGTCTTTCTGTTCACTTTTGCTATGGAATTATAATAAAACATAAAAAGTTGTGTTTTTTTTTTTTTCCAGGTTCTTTGTCTGCGATGCGGTTTGTGACAGCCGTGCAGCAGCAGCAGAAAGGTGGAGACAAGCAGGTGGAGCAGGTTTCCCGTGAGCTGTGGAGGCGGATCTGGTGCGAAGACAAAGACATCACTGAACCTGCATCACTCTCTGAGGTAAAACCTTTTGTTTTTACACGCTGGATGATTTCAGTAGATTTACAGTTGAAATTAATTCTTGCTTCTTCGATCGCAGGCAGCGAAGAAAGCAGGACTGTCAGTCGATGAGATTCAGGAAGTGCTGAAATTGTCCACCTCACAGAAGATTAAAGACGAGCTGAAAAACACAACAGAAGATGCGCTAAAATATGGGGTTGGTCGTGCTTCAGCTCTGCTTGTCGAGCTCGATAAAAAAACATGAAAGTGAAATAACTAAAGAAAATCCTCCTTCAGGCGTTCGGCTTCCCTCTGCTGGTGTGTCACATCGACGGGGAGCCTCAGATGTTCTTTGGGTCTGACAGATTCGAGCTCATGGCCCACTGCATCGGTGAGGAGTAAAATCTGGACCTTTTCATCCGTAGAGTATTTCTCTTCTGCTGATGTCTTTTAATCCTGACTGGATCTGACTTTAAGCAGCTGAATGTACAGAACCTGAAGAAATGTTCAGTGATTTAAAAAAAAAAGAAGCTGAAACTGAGCTAAAGTTAAAATAGCAGAACATGAGCTGAAGGCTAAAAGAAGAAAAACACAACAAGAGATGAAAGTATCAAAATGCTAACTGAAAGTCGCAAAACAACCCAAAAGCTAAAGGTAGCTAAAGGCTAGGAAGAATTGGACAATGAAGAAGCTTAAAGTAGCAGAAGATAAGCTAAATATTTTTAGTTAAAAGTGGTAAATGCTTAGCAAAACATAAAAAAGCTGAAGCAGTAATAAGGTAACTAAAAGTAGCTAAATGTTAGCTAAAAACTAAAAGTAGCAAAATGCTAACTAATTGTATCAAAATGATATTTAAAAGCCAAAAGTATATATATATAAAAAAAAAAAGCTACCTTGAAGCTAAAGGAAGCAATAGCAAGCTAAAAGCTCAAATTAGCAAATTGCTAACATAACAGCAAAAGCTTAGCTTAAAGCAAAATGTTAGTCAAAAGTAGCTGAAGGCTACTTTAACGGTAAAGCGGTATTAAAGTGTCTAAAATTTCTAAAACACTGTCTAAATATCAAACAATTTTAGCTAAATGTAGAAAAGAGCTAAATGCATGAAAAGGTTAGATGTCATCTAAAAGCTAAAAATAGCAAAAGTTTAGGTAAAAATATCAATGGGTTCTCTGCAGGTCAAAAGTAGCAAAAGTGATTGCTAAAAGCTTAAAGCTAAAAATAACAAACTATAGTTAAAAACTAAAAAAGACCAAAACTGCCAGCACGCTGAAGCTGAAGAGATTTTGAAGGAGTTGAAAAGAGCTTAAAATATTTCTATGATGAAGAAAAGTAGAAAAGTTACAAAAGTCAGAAGAACTCCAGTCTCCTGAATGAGCTGAACGTTTTGACAAATGACTAAACATCACAAATTGTGCAGAAGTAGTTAGATAAACAAAAAAAAAGAACAATTAAGTCTGTGTGTGTGTGTGTGAGTTCAGTCTGACTCTTCTCTGTTTCAGGGGAGAGGTGGTTCGGACCTAAACCGGATCGTTCAGCTGCCAAGCTGTGAGACGACAGCTGTCCACACGTCCTGCTCTCACGCTGAAACGTTCCAACTAATTTTCTTTGAAACATTTTAGACTTCAGAAACTCTCAGCTGTGCCTTCTGGAATCAAGCAGTTCAAGTCCTGGTGGAGCGGTAGATGTAACTTCAGATTAATCCTGTGCTAAGATCATTCAGAGCACTTAATATTATCTTAAAAAATAAAAGTATAAAATATGAAGTTTGATGTCTGAAGCATGCACAGTTTCATATGGAGCTGTTTTGTGTTCCTGTTCAGGTAAATGTGAATCGAATCCAACTGTGTTTCAACTGTTTTTACAACTTTCACTAAATTTAAGATCATATCTGTAGCTTTGTTTTTAATGCATCTGTGAGTGTAGAAAGTAAATATTTATAAACCAGCAGAAGGAATCGTGACGGTTTTGAGTGGCAGCACAAAATCAGTATTTGTTTCTAATAAAATAATTAATTTATGACATATATTCAAGGTGCCCTTAATAATCTTTTTATGTCTGATTCAGTGTGACGCCTAAAATTTCTTAATCTTTCAGTATTTTCAGTTCTTCCTAAGAAAAAACCAAGATAAGAAATTTCCAACTAAAGAAATTAGAGGAGCACATTTTCTTTTGTTCAGGATGTAAAATTATCAGAATAAACACAAGTGGAAAAGTAAGTAACTCAGTACCTAAGATTAACAGTTTATTTTGAAATTAACTGCATATTTTTGCATTTTTAAAATCAGAGAAACAAGTATTTTTACTAAAACTTTATGCTTCAGAGTGCATCTTTTTTTATATAATTGCCATAGTGGAACAATGAATTCTGAGTAATAAAAATGCTTACTGCTACTAAATGAGTGTAAATGAGTACTACATTTGTCCAGAAACTTGAGAAAACAGTCACACATGTAGGATAAAGGCGACTTAATCAAGATGTCGAATGTGAAAAGAAATCTTTTACATTTAATCAAACAGTTTTTAGAATATTATGTTGATAAAGGAATGTGATTTGACACGCCTGGCCTTCACTGCTCTCAGTATTTTTATCTTCCCACACACGTCTGGCGTCAGGACGCAATGACTGCTTCGCTAAAGGTTTTTAATGATGATGTTGAAGCACTGGATGCCGAGGATTACTGTGCTGCACTTTACTTAGTCCTGTCCAAAACCTTTATTGTAGATCATGACATCTTATGTCATAAGCTCTCAGATATTGGTTTCTCAGATCACACTGTTAGCTGGTTTTCTAACCAGTATCTCTCAAATGGGAGGCAATGTGTTCAACACAATGGTACTTCATCCAGATAATTAACGGTCACAAACGGTGTGCCGCAAGGCTCAGTTTTAGGACCCACTCTACAATTTATATAAACAATGTAGATCAAAACATTCCTGACGCCTCCTTACATCTCTGCTGACGATACATATTGCTGAGCTAACAGTTGCCATGGTTTTCCAGCTTCTACAGTCTGCATGTGACATCATTCAGTCAGACTTCAAACTGGTGCTAAATGCTGATAAAACCAAAGGGATGTTTTCAAACAAAGTCAGTGCCAGCAGCTCTTCCTCCTATCTCATCCATGCATGGTGTTCTTGTTGAGTTTGTAGATTCTTACAAATACTTAGGAATTTTGGTTGATGCATATCTGTCTTTTAAGCCACGTTAATAAAGAAACTTGAAATTAAAACTGGGTTTCTTTTACAGAAATAGATGTAGCTTAACTCTGAATGCCAGGAAACAACTTGTAGCTGCAACTTTCCTACTGGCCATTGACTATCGTGACATTATTTACATGAATGCCCCTGCCAGCTCCTTGCAGGTAACTAGAGTTTGATGCGGTCTACCATGGCGGGCTAAAATTCATAACCATCGTACCCATCACTGCACCCAACATTGGTCATCATCGTGTTGTGTTTATTCGCACTCGTCTGCTCACACAGACTCATGTTCGTGCTGCTGTTCGGCGTATTGTTTCTATGCCTTTTAGTTAACGTTTTTCTTAGTTCATATCTTAGATCTTGTTACTGTTATTATTTTACATTCTAATACTTTGTTGGATGTAACGGGGATCCTGTGTACACAATTTCGTTCCACCACATGTACCACATGTGGTGCGAATGACAAATAAAGAATCTTGAATTATCGACATGTAGGATCTCACACTGGTTCATTTTCATCTATAAATCACTCCTTGGTCTGCTATCTCCTCCCACATGTCACGTCGTCAGTGCAGTTACAGCGTGCGCTCTCAGGCCATCATTACCTGCAGCGTCCCCTCAGTGCGGATTGAACTCAGCAAAAAGTCCTTTTCTTACTCAGCTCCTGTAACACCTTACAAAAAGACCTGAAGCGGTCCACTTTGATTTCTTTAAGATATTTTAAACACTTGGTAATGTCAATAGAAAAACCTAAGCAAATATGTTCTTGCTTAGTATTTTACTTTTATATGGCATCTTGATTCGACTTTTTATAACTACTTTTATTTGATTTTAATCGCTTTTTGTTAAATTATTGTCTGTACTTTATATGTCGTCTGTCTGAAAGTGTTTCTTGAAAATGAGTCCTTGTGACTCAGTGAGACTAACCTGTATAAATAAAGGTTGAATGGAAAAAAAAAAAAAAAAAAAAAAATATATATATATATATACACACACGCACACACCGTCAGTAAGCGCAGGCGTGAACTCATCATCAAGCTGATTTAGTCTCTTGTTGACACTGTGCAGATATGAGCTTTTATTTTTGTGGTCATTTAATATTTCTTTAAACAGTTTTCAGGATTTATCAGCTCAGTTGGGGAGTGAACGCTGCTCAGTGGTATAAACTTCATTCATCTGGAAAAACGACCTTTCATTTTCTCAGACTTCTGCCTCGAGTAAATAAATCAGTGGTGTATGTATTTCCTTCGTGTGTGTGTGTTTACAGTAACAGGATATGTGGGTGTGTTTTGCTTTAGCTTTAAATTGGGGTAAATCTTATTTGGTTTCTTCACAACAAGCTGTGTCACTAAAAGAGGTTTGCGTTGAAGATCCAGTTTGACAACATTTACCCATAATCCTTTTCAAGGTTCATTTCCAGCAGCGTCAGTTTGATTTATATACAACAGTTCAAACATCTGAAGTTGATCAGGGTGTGTCGGAGTCAAACCAGATAATAAAATAAAATATAAAGACTAGAAAAATTACATTATTTGTAAAAATGCTGAGTGCTGGATAACTTCTGAAATTTGCTTCATATGTTAAAGCTAAAAGCTAGCTGTAGTAGTAGGCTAACTAAAAGTGGAAAAAGGTAGCAAAAGACTAGCTGAAAGTAAAAAAAAAAAAAACGAGCTAAAAAAAACCGCTAGTTAAAACTAGCAGCTAAGTAGCTAAATGCTAGCTAACGGTTAAGTGTAGCAATAGGCTAGCCTAAAAAGCAGCAAAAGGTTTGTTGGAACATAAAAACTACAAATAGCATTTGCAAAGGCTTGCTAAAATCTAAAGTAGCAAAATGGTAGCTTAAAGCTAAATGTTGCCAAAAGCTGAACAAATGTATCAAAAGACTGACTAAAAGCTAAATGTAGCAGAATGGTAGCTATATGCTAAACATAGCAAAACATTATGTTTAAATTTAGAAAAAGATGAGTTGAAAGGTAAAAGTATCAAATAGTCGATAACAAAAAGTAGATGAATGGTGGCTAAATTTAAAAAAAGCTGCAAAAAACTAGCTGAGAGCTAAAAAGAGAAACTAAAAGTAGCAAAAGGCTAGCTAAACGTTAAAGCAGTAGGTGAGCTAAAAGTCTAAAGAAGCCCTTTAGGAGAGGTAAAATAGTTGTAAACAAGGTTTACGATTTTGAAAAGAAAAAAGTTACAAAAACAAAAAAGCTTAGCACCATTCTTCTACATGAGCCAAATATTTGTAGCTAAAATAGTACTAAGTGTACAAAAGTAATTAGATTGCAAATTTATACAGAAAAGTAAAAAAGGAAAACAATTCATTCTGTCTCATTCAGAGTTGGACATACTCCTGCTACCCATGGGTCAAAATACCTCATGGGCCATTTTTGACCCAAGGGCAGTGAAATAATTAAGAAGAAAATACAAAAATAATGGTCATGCATATATATATTTTAATCTAATTATTAAATGGAAACATATTACAGAATAAAAATATCTTGAGATTAAATTTGACTGAGGCCTCTGGTTATTTTGACCCAAGGGTAGCAGGAGGGATACAGTCGTCTCCTGCTGCTCTCCAGCTTGTTGTTATTTATAACCTGGGGAAGTGCACTTCTGCTGACTAAAAACCCCAGAGAATCCAGTCGTGCAAGTTCCGGGTTAAAAAAGACCAAACATGTTCGACAAAGAGCTGAAAACTGGACTGGGATGAGGAGCGGCCGGACCAGTTTCCAGAAACAGAGCAGAGAGGCAGGGCGTGTGTCACCGGAGAGACGTGATCTTTAACAGAGACAGAATGTGGTAGAGAAAAAAGAAGAAGAGAAGACACGTCTGATCGCACTGCGCAGCATCAGCAGCCAGAGGAAGGGAGGAGGAGGAGGGAGCAGGAGGTGCAGGTGAGGGTGGAGTTAGGAAACCACAGGAGGTGCAGGTGAGGGTAGACAAACACGGAGGAGCAAACTGATCCCTGGAGCCTGACGCATCAGCTGAAAGAAAACAACACGATGAGGAGCTGAAGCAGGACTTCTCAATCTGCTAACATCCGGTTGGGCCTGGCTGTGTGAAGGAGGGAACCATGAACCTGCAATAACTGGATTTAACTTCATTATCTTTGTTTAAAGTTCATAAAAACACACAAGGTGAGGCTTTTTAAGTATTTGTTCTTTATTTACACATGTCTATTTCAAAGAGATGAAGCTAAGGAGGAAGCCTGAGCCGATTTCTGCAGAATATTTTTTATTTCTTATTACGCCTATTTGCGCACTTTGTTTGGCCTTGTCACTGTTTTAAGTGCTCTATAAATAAAATGGTATGGTATTTATTTAATTTAAGGTCATTTTCAGTGCTCTATGTTCAAGCACTGGGTGTGTGGAGCAGCACAGGCACAAAATGAGTTAAAAAATGTGGATGAACTGGTTTAGGCTTTTTGGACGCAATGTAAAATGATGATATGGGTCAAGAGTTTCCTTGTGTGGCTCCAATGTCTTGTCTTTTGTCCTGTTTGGCATCTCTTTAGAAAAACATCAGTCAAATGGCATAAAGATTTAGTTACAGACGATTTCTGTGCTAGTGGTTGACATTCTACTAAAGATATGGCCTAAAGATTTGTCTTATGGGAATGATTTTGTCAATCGGTTTAAAAAATTAATGATTAAATAACAAGAGGGAAATGAAGCTTGAACGTGTTGGTAACACAACATGTGAAGGTGTCAGTTACACAATCTTTTCTCAGCAGTTACATGTCACGTTAACGAGCCTTTCAGGTAAACCCGCCTTTTTGTTGTCCATCAGTCTGTTCATCTGTGTTCACCCACAACAAAGGTTTTATTCTGCATTAAAAAAAAAACTTAAGTTTTCAGTAAAAACTAAAAATACTCTGATGTTTCTAAATGGGAGATTCACAGTTTTAACATCACAGGATTAATCAATGTTTTCTGAACTATTTGCTTTTTAAAATTTTGATCTGACAGAATGTCGTCAAACTCGAACTACCTCTGCAAACAGGGAGACACCGTCTGTGGTAAGTTTCATCACTGCACCCTTCTCCCTGCTGGCCTCCTTAGATAGAGAACTTTACTAATTGGTTTTCTTGGTATGTGAATGTTCCTGTAAGGTGCCCTGAGACAACTTTGTTGTGATTTGGCGCTATATAAATAAACTGAATTGAACTGAATTCTCCCCCATTTTGAGATTTTATTACTTTGAGAGTTTTACGAACACCTGTCAAGAGGTTCATGAGATATTTTGCTGACAGACAAACAGGGTTGTCTCCAAAAGTCGATAAAACAGATTTGAGCTAAGATCTTGCCCAATGAGTTTGGAGTTTGTGTTGTGAATGACTCAGCTACTACCACAGCAGATTTGGGCACAATATCTGTAAAATGACTGAATTACAACCACTTCTGGATTTTCTAATATCAGTTGTTTGTGGCACCAAACCAGCCACTAGGGAGCACAAGCCAGTTTATCTCTTGTGCTGGTCCCCAAGCCCAAGTAAATGGTGAGGGTTGTGTCAGGAAGGACATCTGACAGAAAACACTTTTGCCAAAACTATAATGCGAGTTCATCTAAGCGACACTATACTGAATCGGTCAAGGCCCGGGTTAACAACGACCGCCACCGGTGCTGTTGACAAACAGGTTGCCAGCAGAAATTATGCTATTGTTTTAGTTGAAGACCACAAGGACCGAAACATGTAAGGAGACAGAGGGAGAAGAGGAAAGTCAAGAATGTAGGACTGAGGGTCGCTACTCTAAATGTGGGGACAATGACAGACAGAGGTAGAGAGCTGGCTGACATGATGCAGAGAAGGAAGGTAGATGTTTTATGTGTCCAAGAGACCAAGTGGAAGGGCAGCAAGACTCACAGCATTGGAGCAGGTTTAAACTGTTTTACCATGGTGTGGATAGAAAGAGAAATGGAGTAGGGGTGGTCCTGAAGGATGAGTTGGCAAATAATGTAGTAGAGGTGAAAAGAGTGTCAGAGTGATGTGCCTGAAGGTAGAATTTGAAAGTCTGATGCTAAATGTTGTCAGTGGTTATGCTTCACAGGTTGGATGTGATGAGGCGTAGAAAGATAAAGGAAAGATTTGTATGAAGTGATAGAGAGTATTCTCAGGGAGGAGAGAGTGGTGATGAGAGCAGACCTGAATGGACATGTTGGTGAAGGAAACAGAGGGGATGAGGAAGTGATGGGCAGGTTTGGTGTCAAGGAAAGAAACCAGGAAGGACAGACGGTGGTGGATTTTGCCAAAAGAATGGAAATGGCTGTAGTCAGCACTTATTTCCAAAAGACAGAGGAACATAGAGAAAAGGAAACCGGGGGGACAGGGGACTGTAAAGCTGTGGCAGGGGAGAGTGTGGCCAGACCACATTGGATGGTTGTGTGTAGAATCAATGACTGTTGTCGTGAAGAAGAGAAAAAGAGTAAAATAAGAGAAGAAGACCAAATGGTGGAAGATGAAGAAAGAAGATTGTTGTGAGAAATTCAAAGAGGAGCTGTTAAAGGCTCTGGGTAAGAAAGAGCTTCCAAATGACTGAGCTACTACAGCAACAGTAATTATAGACACAGGTAAGAAGGTACTTGGTGTGTCATCTGGACAGAGAATGGATGATAAGGAAACCTGGTGGTGGAATAGTGAAGTGCAGGAAACTATTAAAAAAAGAGGTTAGCCAAAAAAACATGGCAATGAGAGGACTGAAGAGAGGAGACAGGAATATAAGGAGATGCAACGTAGAGCAAAGAGGGAGGTAGCTAAGGCAAAACAGAAGACATGATGAGCTGTATGTGGAACACGGTGGAACAGTGAGGCTACAAGGAGGAGAGGTCACAAAGGTGCAGGACTTCAAGTACTTGGAATCCACTGTCCAGGAAAATGGGGAGTGTGGTAAAGAGGTGAAGAAGAGAGTCCAGGCAGGATGGAGTGAATGGAGAAAAGTTTCAGGAGTGATTTTTGACAAAAGAGTGTCAGCAAAGGTCAAAGGAAAAAATTACAAGACAGTTGTGAGACCAGCTGTGTTGTATGGTCTGGAGACAGAGACATGGACAAAAAGACAGGAGACAGAACTGGAAGTGGCAAAAATGAAGATGTTGAGGTTCTCCTTGTGACAAGGATGGAGAAGATTAGGAATGAGATCATCAGAGGTACAGCACAGGTTGAACAACTGGGAGATAAAGTTAAAGAGACCAGACTGAGATGGTTTGGACATGTCCAGAGGAGGGACAGTGGGTATACTGGTAGAAGGATGTTAGAAATGCAGCTGTTAGGAAAAAGACAAAGAGGAGATATATGGAGGCAGTTAAGAGAGGACATGGAGGTAGATGGAGTGAGGACAGAGGATGCAGAGGACAGAGATGGAAGAGGATGACTCGCTGTGGAGACCCCTGAAGAGGGAAAAGCCAAAAGAAAGTGGTTCATGAGATATTTTGCTAAGACAACGTTGACTCCAAACAGTTATTGGGGGGGGGGAAAAAGCCAAAACTCTTACACAATCTGTTAGTGCTCAATATATTTTTTGGGAATTAGTCTCAGCTACTGCCACACAAAATTCTAGGTGAACGTGCGTAAAATCAACTGAATTATTTCTGTGTTTCTTAAGATCAGTTGTCTTTGTCAGCCATCTTGAATTAGGATGGCTTCAAAAGTTAAACAGTTGTAGACATCCAATGAGTATTTCCTGAGTTTCATTCAAATCTGTCCAGTGAGTCATGAGATATTTTGCTAACAGACACACTTTTTAGTCTGCCTTTGTCAAACTTGTTATTTCCAACTGTACCACCAACACGTCACTGCGTAATGTACCAGTACTTCCTGTGTGCAGAGATCCGTGTGTACGAGCGGGAGGTCATTGTGGTGCCCATGCTCCTGCTCACCAGCTTCGTTGTGTTGCTGGTCTTCATTTTGCTGCTACACTTCTGTCCCGAGAGGGTGGATCGACTCCGACCCCGTGCCCAGAAGTCCAACACCAGGAGGGTGCTGCACGGCATCGACGGTAGGTGTTCTTCTGGGCGCAACACAAAAATAAGCGCTGAAATGTGTTTTGTCAACAGCATGTCGCGTTGTTTTAAGAGGCATGACGTTTAAAGTGTTATCCTGATTTTGGGGTTTATTCTATTTGTAGTCAACAAGAACAATAAAGTTTCCACCTGTCCTTTTTAAAGTTGCTGCTGTGGGTTGTCCTACCCCTCTCCTTTTCCTTCTGTACTCATGTGTCCTTCAGAAATGTTAAGGTTCAAACAATCTTATGTTGAAAAATAAGATTTTTAACTTGTGAGCATCAATTTGGACAAAAAACAAAAGTTAACAATAGAGAGCACAATATACTCTGCTTTAAACTGCTTCATGTGTCCTAAAATACAAAGAAACAGCGGATCGTCTACTTTAAATAAATGCTTCAAAAAATAAGTTCAAAATGTAAAGACTTAAAAAGCTTTAAAACCTAGATTTATTTTTAAATAAACTTGTTATAAAACATATATATGACCTCTCAGTCATCTCAGCTGTTTTAAAAGGTTTCCCTCCCCCAGTTTAAATTCTTATTTTAATTTAAATGGTTTTATCGATGATCCGGACTGAGCTCAGCCGTGAGCCAGATGTGGTCCCCGGGCCACCAGTTGAATCCATAGTTTTCACCTGACGTCAGAGCTTTAAACTGTAGGAACGTTTACCTGACGTTGGACAAATGTTCAGCCAACTATGATGAAATGACTTTAAAGAATATTACTGAACACCAAATCGACGAAACGTAAGATTTACATGTAGTTTTGTTCAGGCTAACTATGTGGTTATATTACCTTTAACAATGAACATTTCCTTGTTCCTCGTCTCCCACACAACACATCATTTACCCCCCCAGACTGAAAACACCTGTAACTGTCCTCACTTTTAAAACCGCTCACCCTGGCAGTGTTTTGCTGCTTAAACCTGGCCTGGGTCAGCCCAGCCTGGGTTCTAGCCCAGAGTCTGCATTGGGAGGTCCGGCTGGTCAATTAACGGAACCCAGAGACCCAGCGTAGCAAGCGGGTCACGAGACTGAAAATTAGCTCTGTGCTACACTGAAACACAACCAGTGCAGATGTTTGATTAAATTCAACAACATTAAAACATTAACAAGCATGTTGATAATAGATAATTGATCTATTTTTGTTGAATGTTTATAAATCTAATGTAGCAATACTCAATACCACCTGGTACGTATTCCGTTTGTGAGTACCAAGTATGTATCCAGTACAAACCTGATGGTGTTTACTGTACTGTGTTATTTACTGCTACTAAAATGAAGGTATCTTATGTTAATGAAAAAAGGCTATTTTTAATCCATTTATGAGGATTGACCGGTATGTTGGCTCTTAATCGGAGGTTGGGTTGATAAGATTTTTTAGTACTGACTTCATTTTAGACTAAATCCACCCTGTTCCCAGAGCAGAAACAGCCTCATGGTTTCTCTGAAACTTCTCCCGGGGTTCAGGAGGATCCTTTAGTCTCTGATGTAAATTCTTGTCTCTGTCTGCAGCCCCGCAGGATTTCAATATACTCGAGCACGAAAGCATCGCCTTGGACATGCCCAACTCATACGCCACCTTCCAGGCTGCCAACCCTTACATCACCAAAACCCTCTCCAAGAAACCCAGCACGTCGCCCCCTGCGTCCAACCCCCCACAGCCCATCAAGTCTGGCTTCACCCCTGTGGCCCAGCCCAGAGAGCTGCCCCGCCAGAGGCTGCCTGAGTCCTTCAACCTGGTGGCCCCTCTGCCCAGCACCTTCTCCCTGCGCTCCGACTCCTCCGTGTCCCTGTACAGGGCGCGCATGGAGAACAGGAATGTGGTCCTGCGGGTCCTGAATGGTACAAACAGCTCTGATTCACCTTCGTCTTAGATTTTAAGGTCAGAGGTCAAGCATCTCCATCTTCACCTTCTGCAGATTCGGCCGATGCCGCTGAGAGACACAGCTTCCTGGGCTTCGCATCGTTCCTGTCCCAGCTGGGACCCCATCCGTTCCTGCCAGAACTGCTCGGTGTGGTCTCCCTCCGAGCTCCTCTGGTCACGGTGGTGGAGGAGCTGGAAAACAGGGACCTGCTCAGCTACTTGTGGAGGTGCAGACAGGTAAAGAGCTCTGCAGAGGACTTCAAGCTTTAGGAAGAAAAGCTGCTTCTGTTCCAACGTGGATCTGTTCTGCGTATTGTTTTTATGCTATTAGTGCTTAGTGTATTTTTAGCTGATGTTTTTCTTAGTTCATATCTTATTACGGTTTTTCTTTTACATTTTATTGTGGGATGTAACTGGGACTCTGAGTACACAATCTCGTTCCACCACAAGTACCACATGTGGTTAAAGAAACTCTGATCTTTAAGAGGACCTCTGTTTGTTTTCCCAGAGCAATGTGGATCCTCCCTGCGAGATGACTGAGAGAAGAATCTTCACCATGGCCAGTCAGGTGGCCTCGGCACTGGTCTGTACATTTCTTAAACTCTTAAATGCATTATCATGTGAATAATGATTCAGCATCAAAGCACTTGTTTTCCTGGTTCCTTAATGACGGATGCCTGCAAACCTTACCAAAATGTGCAGCTCAGTCAGGAGATAGCTGCTACGATGTCTGGTTTCTGTAATGTTTACATTTTTCAAGAGATTGTATTTTATTTGCATATATTTTTCCCATAGACATACAATGAAGTCATTTCAATTCCCTCCAAAACAATGCGAACTTGCTCTTTTGTTTTTCTTTGCTACCTTTAGCTAGTTTTATTCCTTTGCTACCTTTAGCTAGTCTTTTTCCTATGCTACCGTTAGCTAGTCTTTTTCCTATGCTACCGTTAGCTAGTCTTTTGATATTTTTGACTTATAGCTACTGTTTTGCTGCTTTTAGCTAATTATTTTGCTGCTTTTAACTTTTGGCTACCGTTTTACTACTTGTGCCTTTCAAATAAACTTTTTCTACTTTTAGCTATTTTTTTCCCCCTTTAAATCAATTGCACTACTAATAGCTTTCAATTACCTTTTGCTATTGTTAGCAACAGTTTTGCTGCTTTTAACTAAACTTGTGCTACTTTTAGTTATCATTTTGGTATCGTTAACTCCTAGCTATCATTTTACTACCTACTGGCTAGCCCTTTGCTTCATTTAGCTTTTTGCAATCCTTTTGCCATTTTTAACTACATTTTTGCTGCTTTTAGCTAGCATTTTGGTACTTTTAACTTCAAGCTACCGTTTTACTACTTATTGCCATTAGCTAGCCATTCACTACATTTGGCTTTTAGAGATGAATTCACTTGTTTTAGCTTCAACAACTTAGTTGTGGCTTCATAAACAAAGTTCTCCAGCACTCGATATTCACGCTGCACTTTTTTTTTTACACTTCAGGTAAACCACATCTGACTGTAAAAAACATTTACTAATAAAAGCAGCAAAATACACACATTTAAAACACTTCTTTTTGTCTTCTCCATGTGTCCCTATCATTCTTTCTGCCACTTTCCAAGTCTTTCACATCCCCAAATCTACATGCTCGCCTGTCTAATCCTGAAATCCTCATTTCTTGCTGAATCCTCAGGAGTTCCTTCACAGCAAAGACCTCCTGCATGGAAACATCCGGGCCCGCAGCGTTCTGGTCAGCAGGCAGCTGACAGCGAAGCTCTGGGGTCTGCATGGAGTCTACACGAGGACGGACCAGAAGGCCACTCAGAAGGAAGACCCCAGCATGAAGAAGTGGCAGGCTCCAGAAGTGCTCGTCAAGAAATCTGCCTCTCAGAGCAGCGACATGTGAGTGGCTTTATTGTTCATTCATATGGCACCTTTGTCACAAATATTTTATAAAATGTAGAGCCTCTTATAAATGTTGCCTCAGTTTCAAATCAGTAGTAATATTTAGGGACATAATTTTCAATGATTATACTTTTGTCTGTGTCCCTCCAGCTGGTCGTTTGGCGTTTTACTGTATGAAATGGCCACTTTGGGTAAGACCAACTGTTATTTTTGAGGATATAAATTCTTAAAAATGTATTTGTTTGCAAACCTTTAATCAGGGAGCTTGAAAATGAGCAAAAATTAATTTTGGGGGAATCAAAAGGAGCTCCAAATGGCTTTTCTCCTTTGTTGTGCCTTAAATTAGTTAGTCCAAAACAGGCCCATCTGTTAAGCTTTTAATCTTTTTTCAAAATTAAAAACAGACTTCGTTCTGACTCATCCAATTCTACAAATTATTGTAATTTATTTATTTGAGGGGAAAAAAGGAAACAATTGTTTAATTTTAGACTGAAAACCATTTAAGCCCTTAATTTTCCAAGTACCGCTTTGAATTATGACTTTTTTTTTTTGAGCTCTCAAAAAGAAGTTTACCAATATAAGATCACTTCTTGATTTTATTCTCTTGCAACCAAATATTTATTTTGTGTAGCATTACTGTATTAAACACTAAATGGTACACTTATTATTAAACATAGACTTAGAGGAAAAAAACTACATAAAACTCTTAATTGCCATTTTTCCTTCGATGTTTCCATTGGATTAATTGAATTTACATTAAATGGAATTATATGTATTTTGTTTTTATGACCTGCTTCTCTCCACATGGTAGTTTATATTAATTGTTCCCCTCTAGGTGAAGCACCGTTTGCAGAAATATCAATTAACGAGCTCCTGCAGTTTCATCAGCGAGGGAAAAGTCTGAAAAAGCCCTCCAACTGCTCCAACGCTCTGTGAGTGTCTGCTGCATGTTCCAGATAATGAAGTGCAAAAGCCATCACAGACTTTCCACAGTTTTACTAAAAACCTTATTTCTTCCAGATACGCACTCATTAAAGGCTGCTGTCAGTGGAAGGAGCAAGACCGTCCCCTTCTGGCCGAACTGAGCCGAAAACTCGTTTCAGGAGAAAAAAGTGCCTCTGATAAAGTCCTGAAAGCGCCTGGGTCAGTTAACATCGAGCAGTACCTGCAGGAGGCGGGATACGGAGAAACAAACGGCTACACCGTTTTCTGATCAGACTGCCAGAACAGAAGAAATATTTGCACTATAGTCTGAAAACACGAGGAGGAACTTCTATATGATGCAATAAAAAAAGTGTTCCTAAATTATTTTTGAGTAACTTTAAGTTATTCTTTAGACTCTCACAACTAAGTTGTGTAAAATCTTGTGATAAATGGCCTGGGTGTCCATGTATATTGTTAAGAACACTATGATTTTTAGGGATTGTTTGGGAATTTGAAACATGTCATCGTGTTGGAATGGCTCGAGACCTTGTAAACCTGACCTGTGAACAGCTTTCACTTCACCAACCCAAGGTTTAAATCCTCCACGTATGATGGTTTGCAGACCTTGTACCAAAAAAGCCAAAGTAAATCAGATAAAGATATGTATATATGAAATATTCCAAAGATGTTTGTATTAAAATAAAGGAGCTATCGTCGCAATTAAAGTTTGTTTACTCAAAAAGATCAGCTCTGAGAAGAACCTAAGCGCGAGAAAATAGCTCAAAATGTTTACAAAAAAAATTTATGTGAATAAAAACATGGAACTGCCACAAGCCTGAACTGGACCGTTTTTATTTTCAAGCTGTTTTTCAGGCGGCACAGTGGTTAGAGCTGTCGCCTCATAACAGGAAGCTCGCACGTTCACCTTACGGCCCGAGTCTTTTCTGGGTGGAGTTGTGTGGGTTTTCTCCGGGTACTCCGGTTTCCTTCCACAAACCAAAAACATGCACGTTAGGCTAAATGATAAATAAACTGTCCCTAGGTGTGAGTGAGAGAGTGAATGGTTGTTTTGTCTCTGTGTCCCTGTGAAGGACTAGAGACCTGTCCAGGGTGTCCCCCGCCTCTAACACAGTGAGCTGGAAAGAAGTGGGTAAATAAAATGAAATGGATGGATGGATAAATGAATGGATGGACGTATGGATGAATGGATGGATGGACAAAAGGATAGATAAATGGATGGGTGGATAAATGGATGGATGGATAAAAAAATAAATGGATGGATGGATAAATGGATGATAAGTGGATGGATGGATGAATAAATGGATGTATGGATGGATGTATAAATGGGTAGCAGCACGGTGGCGCAACTGGTAGAGCTGCTGCCTCTCAGCGAGCAGGTCCTTGGTTCAAATCCCGGTCCAGGGGCCTTTCTGGGTGGAGTTTGCATGTTCTCTCCGTGCATGCGTGGGTTTCTTCCAGGTGCTCCGGTTTCCTCCCACAGACCAAAAACATGCATGTTAGACTGATTGGTAACTCTAATTGTCTCTAGGTGAGAGTGAGAGAGTGAATGGTTGTTTGTCTCGTTTGTCTCTATGTGTCCCTGTGATGGACTGGAGACTCGTCCAGGGTGTACCCCGCCCCTCGCACAATGATTGCTGGACATGGGCACCGGCGACCCCTGTGACCCAAAATGGAAGAAGTGGGTAAAAGATAATGGATGGATGGATAAATGGATAGATGCATGGATGGATAAATGGATGATAAATGATGGATGGATGGATGATAAATGATAGATGGATAAATGGATGGATGGACAGATGGATAAATGAATGAGTAAATGGATGATAAATGATGGATGGATGGATGATAAATGGTGGATGG